AATTTTCTTGTGGGGTGAATAGAAACAGTAAAAATTATGTGTTTCTATTCACCCCATAAATTCTGAAAACATAACCTAAAAAATATGAATAGTTTTTGAAATAGTATCGTTAAAGTTAAAGCTTAAAGTAAGCCGTAATCTTTTGTATGGATAATTAAACTATGTTTTGTGCAGCTATTTACTTTTAAGAACACTACGTATTCTGACTTACCTGGAAAGTTCTAAGTGGATAAAAAAACACAAGAATCGCGTGGTAAATGTCAACAAGACAAACAAACGGGAACCAGTGCTGCCAACCAAACAAAACATTATTTTCCTTTTAGCCTAAAGTGTAGCAACATAAAAAAAATAATGGTTGCCACTATTTATCCATAGTTATGTACGAAATAAATTACATAATATAAATAAAGTTTTGTTTCTATTCACCCCGTTTTACGGTACCTTTTTGTTTAGTATACTTATGGCTACGTCGACGATATTATCACATATTTAGACTTTATTCGTAGCTATTCTCTTATACTCTACTATACTCTTGTAGGGCAACTACATAAGTTTTAGTTCTTCTATAGGTAGGTACTCTCAGCCATAATTACCGTGTCATCTGCAAATCTGATGGTGTTTACGATTTCTCCACCAATTCTTATTCCCTCTTTTCTTTTCCATGAGGCTTTTCTGAATATGACCATTGAGTACACGTTGAAAAGCGTTGGAGACAAGACGCATCCTTGCCTGACCCCTCTCGCAATCGGTATATTATTTGTTTCTATATCGTTCACCTTTACTACTGCTTGCTGGATCCTGTATATAGCCTTAATAAACTCAATGTCTTTTTTGTCTAAATTGATGTTTTTTAATTGATCTATTAACTTCATATGCTTCCTAAAGTCTATGAAGCATACATATGCACTCTTGTTACATTCCCGACATTTCTGCAAGAGTACCGTCAACGCAAATAATGCCTCCCTTGTACCCATGCCTCCTCTGAAGCCAAACTGCGTTTGATCGATCTGCTCCTCACATTTCTTATAAATTTGGTTTTGAACAATATTCAAGAGAATCTTTAAAGGGTGGCACATTAGACTTATCAATCTATAGTCATTACATGATTTGGGATTGTTATTTTTTGGTAGAGGTAAAAATATCGATTTAAGCCATTCCTTCGGGATGTTGCCCTCTACATATATTTGGTTATATATTAACGTCATCTATTATATACTAACGTCATCTTTTATATATTAACGTCATCTACTATATATTAACCTCTTTATATTAACGTCATCTAAGGCTTTAACAGTTCAACTGGAATTTGCTCGGGACCCGGTGCTTTTCCTTGTTTTGCATTCTGTAGGGCATGCTTTACTTCTGAGTGTAAAATTTGTAGGTATTGTTCTTCTTCGCCTATATATTGTTCATTTTCCGTCTCGTCATGGAACAGATGGATTATATATTGTTACCATACTTCCTTTATTTTGCTCTCTTCAATAAATATTCCTCCATGATTATCTCTTATTATGAGTGTTCTTCTTTGTCTGGTGTTGCCTGTAAGTTCTTTCATTTTTTTATGTAAATTTGAGGTGTCATGTTTGTTGCTGAGTTCCTGGCATTCTTTGTTCATCTATTCCTCCTTAGCCCTTCTGACTTCATATTTGATTTTATTATTGATGGTTTTATATTTATTTCCATCTTTATTTTTGTATTTTCTTTTTTCAGTTATTAGCTCAACTATTTCCGGTGTCATTCAGTATTTTTTAGTGGTTTTCTCTTCTTCGCCTAGGATCTCTTTTCCCGCTTTTAGTATGGCTTTTTTCATATCTGCCCATTCCACGCTTCCTTCAGTTATTTTATTTATCTCTTTGTTTAGTTGCTGTTGACAGTTGTCTTTTACGTTTTTGATGTTTATTTTGGTGGTTTTAAATTTTTTCTCCGGCTTTCTGAGTTTAATGCAGACGTTTGCTAGTAATAGATTATGGTCCGTATCTGCATCTGCGCTTGGATAGGTTTTTGGACTTTGTGCTCCATTACGAAACCTTTATCGTTATAAAATCTATTTGGTTTCTGATTATATTGTTGGTGTTATCTTTTGGAGAAGTCCACGTGTATAATCTTCGAGAGGTTAGGTCGTAGTATGTATTTGTTATGACTAATTCTTTCTCCTGGCAGTACTGGACTAGTCTATTACCTCTTTCGTTTCTTTTACCTAATCCAAAATTTCCTACAATATTTCCAGTTTTTCCTCGACCGACTTTAGCATTAAAGTCGCCCATAAATATTTTTACCTCCTACTTCTTTATGTTTTTTGTTAACAGCTCTAAGTCCGCGTAGAATTTTTAGACTTCAGCATCATTGCTATCAGATGTTGGAGCATACACTTGGATTAGATTTATGTTAAGATGGCTTTCAGCTGAAGTAGCATCATACGTTCTTTAAAGGGAATGAAATTTGTCACAAACTCTTTTAAATTATTGTTGATAATAATACCAATACCTTGGCTGTGTTCTCCAGTGCTTTTGCCTGAGTAGAAAATAGTATTATTATCCCTGGTGTAGTTTCCAGAATTTGGCCATCGAACTTCTGAAAGGTCCAATAATTGTATGTCTAATCTCTCCATAATAAGTACACAGAAGTCCAAATAATGAGTACACAGAAGAGATTAAAGCAAGAATAGGACAGGCAAGAAATTCTTTCAACAAACTGAAAAAAGTACTTTGCAGCAGGGACATTTCAATTTCTTTAAAGATAAGACTTCTGAGATGCTACGTGTTCTCCGTATTATTTTATGGGTTGGAGGCTTGGACTTTTAAAGAAAGATGTTTCAGACAGATTGGAAGCCTTCGAGTTATGGGCCTACAGAAGGATATTAAGAATAAGTTGGGTAGATAGAGTCACGAATGTCGAGGTGTTGAGAAGAATGGGTAAAGATAAAGAGGTCTTAAATACAGTTAAAGTCAGAAAACTGCAATATCTGGGACATGTTATGAGGGGCGAGCGTTATAACTTGTTGCAATTAATAATGCAAGGAAGAATACAGGGTAGAAGGAGTCGCGGAAGAAGACGCATCTCCTGGTTGAATAATTTGAGAGCTTGGTTTAACTGCACTTCTGCTGACCTCTTTAGAGCAGCGGCGTCGAAAGTGCGAATTGCCATGATGGTTGCCAACCTTCTTAGAGGAGATGGCACGTGAAGAAGAAGAAAAATCTCTCCATTTCTAGCATGACTGTTGTTAATTTTCCTGCTTCATAAAGTGTTCTTATATTCCACGTTGCTATGCGTTTTAAATCGCTTACACTGAATTTGTTTTTCCGCCCGGGGATTCTTCGCACCCCCGTTCCATTAAAGGGACGCCGGGCACTCGGGGTCACTGTTTGATTTACGTCCATTTGTGGTTGTTCTTGAGAAATCCTTAGAGATCTTTAATGCAGTGGTTTCTCCTTGCCCTCTGCATCCTTATGCCGTTGATCTTGGTTAATTCGCCTTTGAGATCGATTTCTCAATCTCAGGACAAAAGAGAGCCCTCCCACTTACCAACTCATCCGCCCGAAGCCGTTGGTCAGTAAGTGGGGATTTGCTTATAGCGGCAAAGGTTTCACCAGTAAAGCGATTTTATCTACCGCTCCGATCCTGTAATGACATAGCTGCTGCCCTACGCCATGCTCTTAATTGATCCGCGGGTGTTTATTTAAAATACATCGGCATAAAATATTTCCATGAACTACTAAATCATGAGAATGCAGAAGTGGTGGAAAATGCACCTGCAGTTATATGAGCTGAGAGAAAAATTCATGGACCGTCCAAAGATGAAATTATAAGTATGATATAATAACATTTGAATTATTAAAAAACGAAGGACCAGCATTATAAAAACAAAGATACAATTTTAATCACCCAAATATGGAAAGAATAGAAATAGGGCCTTATACAACTCATTCACAAGAAATAAAATAAGTAAGAATGCTCCAAGGATAAGATAAAACCAAATCTATGTTTACAAAAAGGACAACACGAAACAATAGAAACTTCTTAATATTGTTCTGAAGCTATTTTCTTGTGGCATTTTAAATTAATTACTATTTAACTGGGAACAAGCCACAATTAAAAATAAAAATACGTTTATTGACGTTTCAATTTCCACTTCGGAAATCGTTCTCAATTTTTTTTTTATTTTAAGGTATTTTGAGAACGATTTCCGAAGTGGAAATTGAAACGTCAATAAACGTATTTTTTTCTTTAATTGTGGCTTATTCCCAGTTAAATAGTAATTAATAGAAACTTCTTTCAAACAGGTCTCCACAGGTTTGAAAATGAAGCAGAGTTCATATACATCGAATCCTTACTAGCCGAAAGTAATGATGTAAGTGTAGAAATAAAGAACAAAGTAAAGCAAAGGCATTCAGACATTTTTCCAAATCGGTGTAAATATTTGCCCAAATTTTGCTTGGTTGAAGGTACGTTCGTTATTATGATTCACCCAAAAAGTTAATACCTCCTCATCCCAGTAAGACTCAAAACTCCTGAAGACTGCTTTAGAATCGGATAATAAGCGGCTTTCCTAAATGCTGCAGATATTTTGATATAAAAAATAGATGTGAGACCTGTTATGTCGCAATGTGTCTATAAGGTCAAACAACCTTGAAATATGCAATCTATAAATACAAATGAAGCGGTTTTAACGGTGTAAACAGAAGACAACAAACAAGAAATTATCTTTAATACAACTCTATATAGCGGAAACAAGAGCCGACAAGAAGAAGACTGAATAATATATAGTTAAAGTAAGGTACTGTAAAAAAGATAACAAAACGAATACGAAACATTATTAAGAATAGAATGAGAGTGGAAGATTCAAAATTATGTCCTGCAAAAAATTAAAATGAGCGCCTATAGAAATTCTTTGGGTGTTCTTTGTTAACAGTGAAGAGAGCAGCAAACTTCATATCAGTCTTACATGACCGCACATTTCTGTCACTGTCACTGTCATTGTCATTTTTTCAAAAAGTTTTATAACCTTACATGTGCTTTTCTCCTCGGTTTCCTTTCACTTTGCCGATAATTGACTGCTTCGTGGCAGAATTATCGCTACTATTTGATATAAACTGTGCACCATATGAAACTAATCTCAATATTGCGGAGATTAGCAATACTAAATTGTGACATTTTGCAAAATAACATAAAAAAGGAGTGTAAAGAGGTTGCAACAGTCAGGACATTTTACATCAGCTCTTCTGCAGAACAGTGGGGCAAGAATAAAAAACATAGAAATATTAAATTGAATCTATACTTCGACGCAATGGCAGATCCTCAAATTGAAGAAGTTTTAGCCCCTTTAAGAGCCACTGTGAAAGAACAAGTAAGTAGTAAGTAAACTAGAGGTTTTGTGTAATATTATATTATTTTGTTTAGGGAGACCTAGTACGTAAACTAAAAGCTGATGGTGCTCCTGTCTTAGATGTCAAAAAGGCTGTAGTTGAGTTACAAGCTAGGAAAAAGCTTCTAGAAGATAAAGAGTTAAGCTTAGCACCTAACAAGACATTTGATAGAGCGAAAATGGAAGATCTCCTTAAACGAAGATTCTTTTTTGATCAGAGTTTCGCCATATATGGAGGTATAACTGGACAGTTTGATTTCGGACCAATGGGCTGTGCATTTAAGGCAAACTTATTGCAGACCTGGCGGCAATTTTTTGTCTTGGAGGAACAGATGTTGGAAGTAGATTGTTCTATTTTGACACCAGAACCTGTTCTCAAGTATGTATTTAATCATATTAATATAATCTTATTTATCATTAATGTAATATAAAAGGGTAGGTTTATAGTTTATATCACAAAGTTGACAATGACAATTTCCTGTGTATTCTTGACATTCTAACAGTGTCACATATGTTATGGGGTTTGGTTGGGCTTCTGCTTTTAAATTCTATCAGGCTTCAGACTAGTTTATAGTTAATGAGGTCAGCTGGGATCTTTTGTTTGAGCCTTAGTCCAATGTGTTGTGTCATTTATATTTGAACTTTCATTTAAAATGTGTTTATAACTTCATCTAATTTACTTACATCATTTGTATGTATGTCATTCGCGTCATAGTCCGTGAGGTCACATGATACCAACACGAAATATTTAGGCAGTAGCTCGGTTCTTTGCTGAGTACACTGGCATTACAGCCACTAGACATATTTTATTATATACATGTAGAAATAATATTTAAAGATTTCTATTAATGTTAACTTAAAGAAATACACAATAATGTTTCATTTAATTTGTATAAATGCATTATAAAGCGTTTTCATGAAGAACATTTGTTCGGAACACACTGTAACTGTAATCGAACGAAGGTGATATTTTGGCATAAATTGGTAATACTTATTTGACAGTTGCGGTGTTGACACTTTTTATACTTTATTATTTTGAATTTTAAAGTGAATACCTCTTGTTTTATATTTTTACCTATTTAATAAAATCTGTTCTTTTTAGAACAAAATTAGTGTGTTTTATTTCAAAATGTCACATAAGAATTTAAATAGTCATTGTAAAGAGATGGTAATACTTTTGCAATATGTGTGACCTATTTGATTTAAAATGGAGTCAGGATTTTTTTATACTTCAGCAACTATGTCAACTTCGATCTCTGTCAATGATAATGACATGCAACTGTAAGTAAATTAGATGAAGTATATTTTCCAACAACTATGAAATGTAAAGCAATGACAATGATTACAGTTTTGTTTTATGCTCTATTCTATACAGATAACTGTGGCCAATGTTTACATTCTGTAACATCTCATTTTTTGTGGATGGGGCATAGGATAACTTATTTCCACTGCTAGGGTATTCTTTGATCCACACTTTATTAATTATCTCAATGATTTCTTCTTTCAGTGTTTTGCCACCTTCTTTTAGAAACTTAGAAACAATGATATCGTAGTGCCTTGTTTAGTAGAAGATCCCACTCCAGGATCACCAAGTTAATAATGTAGTTCATCAAACTCACATTTTTATATACATTTAAAATTAGGAGCATACATTGATAATAGGTTGCCAGTCAAAAATTAATGTTTGACAAGTATTTTAATTCTCATTTATTTTTTAAATAAAATTCGCTGCTCATGACATAGCTGCATGTTTTTATATAAATAAATTATCTAATTTTTTTCTTAATATGATTATATATGGTTGCCAAAAAAAATTAGATAAAGCCAAAGATGCATGTTTTAAAACAGGCATAACTGACACTTTGAAGTTTGTTTTAAACAAGTAGTGTTGAGTATACCTCACATTTTTAACAGCAACTCCAATTTTTGACCATATTTTTCTTCCCTTTTTCACAAAGTTCCCTTCCTCCCTCCCAAACTTCTTAATTTGGCTAGAAACACTAGAAGCGATGCCAGTAAGATATCACAGATTTTAACAATCTGCAAGCCAAAAATGCTCAATCGAAAGCTGTTCTTAAAGTATAGCTAGTAACACACGAAATTACCCTCAGAGCAGTATGGCTAGCAACAACTTTCATCACCATACACCACAAATGATACAACACCCACACTGACGAACTAATGCTTCTCAGCAAGCCACTCATCTTCCCAATCTCTCTTTCACCAACACAAACAGCATTCGCAGACTGACATCTGCTCTTGTCAACTCTTGAAGAGACCCCGCCTAAACGAGGCATAAATAATGATACTCAGTTTAATGTTATTATCATTTTAGAGCCTCTGGACATGTAGATAGATTTGCTGACCTCATGGTTAAGGATACAAAAACCGGAGAATGCTTTAGGCTAGATCATTTAATCAAAGCACATTTAGAAAAGATTTCAGCTGATAAGAAAACTTCTGCTGCGACAAGGGAGGAATGTCAAGATATTGTCATCAAGGTTAGTATAAAAAGTATGTTTTTGTTTTTAATTTAATTGGTTCTTCACGATATTGTTTGTTTTTTTTTAAGTTTCACGCTTTGGACTGAGCTAGAATTTTTAAACCTAATTCACGTCTTTATGTTCTTCTGTCAATAGATACAATATGCAACAGGAAATTAATGTGTTTACACACAATTATTTTTATGAAATGTTTTTAATTTGATTCTTTGAAATCCCTAGTGACGCCTTTATTTCACTATATCTCTATTTTCGCGATAAGTAGATACTTGTAGATAGTGTCGATGTTTTCTTAAGACAATTGTATTCGAAATTATAAAAAAAAATATTGTGCTAAAATGTTTACGGTTTAATTTTCAACTAGATGGTCAACTTTAATTATTTTCTTCCATTGTTCCACTTCTGCACCGATTCCTGCCTGAGACCGCATCCTGTTCGGGTACCTGGTTCCACTATTGCTGATTTTTGTCCCAGTATGCAAAGCATAAAATACACGCCACATATTAATACTACTTTTAACTTCTGTTTTCTTTAGTTGGACGGAATGAATAAAGATGAAATGGGTGCTGTAATGAAAAAATTCGACATGAAGAGCCCTCTTACTGGAAATGCCCTAACTGAACCTATGGAGTTCAATCTAATGTTTGCAACTCAGATAGGGCCATCTGGTTTAATTAAAGGGTAAGTTACATTAATAATAGTATTCTAACAAGATATTTAAAGCCGGAATCAGACAGCTCGTGGAATGGCACTCTTCACTAGTTTACGTTGGGAAAGAGTAACAGAAAATCGATATTAACGATCAGAAAAGACACAACGGTAACGATAACACCAATATTGGAGAAGAAGAATATATTAATAAGGAAATACATCATAACAAGATAAATCATATAGCGACATGGAATGTGACATCTCTGACCGGCAAGGAAATAGAAGCTAAGGAAGAAATGGAAAAAATGAAGATACAAATAATGGGAATAAGTGAGACAAAAAAGATAGGAAGAGGACACATCAATATCAATGAGAAATATAGTCTATATTATTCCGGAGTACCACAGGGTCACAGAGCAATAGAAGGAGTAGGTATAATAGTGAATAAAAGAATATAATCAAGAATAACAAACTACGCAGCAGTATCATCTAGAATAATCACAGCCCAAATAGAACTAAAAGACAAGATAGGAATAATACAATATACGCACCAACAGAAGGAAATGAAGAAGAGATAATAATAGAATTTTACAACGAACTCCGAAACATATTAGACAAATTAAGAGAGACAAGAGAAAAAATAATAATCAGGCGATTGGAATTCAAAAGTAGGTAAGAAGATTAACAGGGGATACATTGGACAATATGGGGAAGAAACATTAAATAGAAATAGAATTAAAATGCTGGAATTCTCCCAAACCAATGACCTGATAATAGGAAACACATTCAGTGAACAAATCATTAACGACAAATATACGTTTGTGGCTGAAGAGAAAAATGCGAAAAGCTTAATTGATTATATAGTCTATACGAGAAACCTAGAACAACATATAAAAAACATCTTCGGAACTGTCTACACAACACAGGATGGTCACTGCAAAACTGGAGGATGAAAAAATGGAGGAAGTGGAAAGAAAAGAGTACAAAAAAGTAAATGTAAACAAACTAAAGATAGAAAGTGTGCGAGATTTTTACACGGAGGAAACTAACAAAAGACTGAGACAAATAGAGTGCCAAAAAGAAACATGGACAATAGAAGAAAGATGGAATACTTACAGTGAAGTATTAAAAACAACAGCAACTGAAGTGTGTGGAATAAAAAAATATAATAAACAGTTGAAAAGGACAAGATGATGGAATAAAGAAGTGAAGACAGAAATAAAAAAGAAGAAAATAGCATGGAAAAAATACATCGAAATGGGATTAGAAGAAGATAAAGAAAAATACTATAGGCAGAGACGATTAGTAAAAAAGACAGTCACATAAGCAAAAGCAAAAACATGGAAAGAATTTGGAGAAGAGCTTCAGGAAGAATAGATAACAAATAATAGAAACTTTTGGACGACAATATGACACATAAGGCAAGGAAAACGAAAGGAAATAATCGCAGTAAGAGATCATTCAAACCAAATACAAATAAGCCCAGAACAAGTAGCTAAGGTATGGAAAGAATATTATGAGAAAAAATTTGATACCAAGTGATAAAGAAGACAATATAATCAATGAAGGCGAAGAAAACACAGAGCTAGAGCAAATAAGTAGAGAAGAAGTGATAGAAGGATTATCAAATATAAAAATAGGCAAGGCAGGTGGATATGATGAAATTGAACCGGAAATGGTAAAATACATGGGAGAAGAAGGAATAAACTGGCTATGGAAAATATATAAAGAGGCGTGGGAAAAACAAACAATCCCTGAAGACTGGCAGAACAATATCATTGTGCCAATATACAAAAAAGGAGAAAATGTAAACTGCGACAACTATAGAGCAATATGTCTGCTATCGGTATGCTTTAAAATGTATACGACAAGAGAAGAGAAGAAGCAGAAATGGTATTGGGAGAAGAACAAACGGCATTTAGACCGGGAAGACAGACAAATGAGAAGATATACCATTAGAAACCTAATAGAAAGAAGCATAGACATGGGGGGAAAACTAGTATTAGCATTCATAGACCTAAGAGCAGCATTTGACACGATAGAAAGACATATTATAGAGAAATGCTGGAAGAAAGTAAATGTACCTAATGCATTGAAAAAAATTATAGAAAGTACTTACAAAGAGGTAAAAGGAAGGGTACAAATAACAGGGGAAAGATCGGAAGCATTTAATTGGAAGAGAGGTATTAAACAAGGAGATAGTCTCAGTCCTTTGCTATTCATAATAGTAATGAACGAATTGATAAGAAACACTAGAGTCAGAACCAATCAACTACAGACAATAATAGGTTACCACAGATTACAACCGGTAGCAATAGAGTCCTTAATGTATGCAGACGACATAGTACTAATAGCAGATTCCGAGAATAAAATGCAGAAACTAATGGATATATGGGTAGAACAAATCGAAGAACTAAAAATGGAGATAAACGAGGAAAAAAGTAAGATAATGATAATCAGCGGCAAAGGAGGTAAGGAAGATAATCAAATAAAGATAAAATGTAAAAACTCAGAATTGGAAATAGTAACACCTTACGAATACCTGGGAAGTATAATAACTAATGACGGAAAAATAGACTGGGAAATAACAAATAGATCAAAGAAATTAAACAAGTTATACTATGCGTTAGCCCAAATAATGGGAAAAAAGCGTACTTGCACGAGACACAAGAATAAAAATAGATAACCCAATAGTGATACCGACTGTGCTCTATGCAAGTGAAAACTGAACAATTCTGGAAAAACATAAGAGCATGATAAACGCAATGGAGATGAGACAGCTACGAAGGATAGTTGGAAAGACAAAATGGGATAGATTAAGCAACGAGATTATTAGGAGAATGGCCAACCAGGAACCGATAATGAACAAAATAGCAAAGAGACAAATGAACTGGTATGGGCATTTTATGAGGATGCAATCCAATAGAATAACAAGAAAAGTTTATGAAGCAAAAAACATCGGAAAAAGAAAAAGAGGCAGACCAAGAAAAAATGGATACAGCAAATAGAGGCGGGAAAACTTAAACAAAAATCACTCGAAGAATTGAAAATAGTGGCAGGAAACAGATAATAATGGAAGAGGTGGGTAAATGGAAATTAAAATAGCTAGCCCAAATCCGACACCCTGATAGGGTAAAAGGAAGGGGAGAAAGAAAGAAGAAAGAAAGAAAAGACACAACGGTTGGCATCTCATGTTATTGTGGAATTAGTAAATATTTGCTTTTTGATAAATGCACTCGACCCAACCCAACATGTAGTCAGACCATTCTCATGTATTATGGGTGAAGTCTGTTGTACGCCATCAGTCTTGGAGATAAAAATTTTATTAAGTTGGGTAATTTATACCGTATCACTCGTAACCGCATCCGAAGGGTTCGACATGTGGTGAATCAGCTTCCGATTCTTTTGAACTGGGCCGTCCATAAATAGACAGTTTTGCCCTATCACAGGTTGGCTGTCTATATATTTTATCTTTTTCTATCTCGTATTTTCTATTTCTCTTCGCCGATGAAGAACGCCATTCCACGTTCTATAAGATCGCTCCTTAATCAGCTCAGTGAGGTAATTGTTCCGAGGTATGAAATTTCATAAACCCCGTTTTATGAAATGATCCCTTGTTTATATAATTTGACACCTCTAACAATAGCGCCACGCTGAGCTGAATATTAATGAGTCTCTTAGATAGCTTGATAGACTATACAGTATCGGCAGTACTAGAGTTTCAATTTATATAATCGAGTTGCAAAGATTAATAATAGTTGTGAGATTTTCAATAAATGATTGAAATACAAAGCATAATTGGAATTGTGCTTTCGATTACTATCATAATTATTTCCAATAAATACGCTAATAATATAATTTTAAATAATTAAATGTGCAATATTTGATTTTTGTTTATTATTTTTGGAAATTGTTGAAAGTTTTGCATTTTTTTAATCATTTATTTTTTATTGAGACCACATCGACAATAATAGGTTATTTAGTTAATCATCTAACAGATTGGACAAGTTTACAACATAACTTAGAGCTTTGTTTCATTTTTCCAGTTTTGTCGGTCTTGAGTTTTCAGCAGTCGATTGTGAGCGATTCTTTTGACTGACATCGTAAGGGTTTTAATGTTAGTAAATAGACCTTTTGTATATATACCATATATAATAATTATATATGTATGTATTGTTATGTTATTACTTTTTTTACTTGGTTAATTGAGCAAATCAAAAACATAACTTAATTGTTCTCAGGGTGAAAAATCTCCTTATATTAACCTATGTTGTGTGGGTCCAAAGATTTCCTAGTTGTCCTTTATCGGGATAGAGAAAAAGGATAATAATAAAAATAGTATGTTACAAAACAATTCGTATTCTTTATTTTATTTAAAGAAGAATAAAACAATTATCAAATTTTGTCGTTATCTTATCAATCAGCGTAAATGAATACAATAAAATTTACACAAAAAGAATATTTTAAGTCTTCTTGAAGACAAAACCAATTTAAGGCCAATTTCAATGAATATCTTTAAAACTTTTTATCTTTCTGATTTTTCAGTATTTTCTTTATTACAAAAACAAAACTTTAAAACATTTTACAAATGAAGTCTACTCTTGAGTTAAAGTGGTAACAAAATTCATGGTCAACAAAATTCATTCACAGTTACAAAATTTTCAATTCTGAACAGAAAATCTCTGACCTTTTCTTCGTAAATTCTACTTGGACCATACCTAGAATCGTCCACGCTCTACAGCAATCTGCCACTATTCTCCTCGGCTTTCTTCTTTTCGTATCTGCAATCCTCCTGCAGCGACTGTACGAAATACCTGACTCAATTCTCCAACAATTAACACTTGAAATTCAATTCTCCAAACACTCAGCTACTTCTCAATGACACAAGGACCTCTTTCTGCCAACTTGGTGTCGCCAAACTATTTCCTACGTATTCCAGAAACTGCCCAGTTTAGATCCAAGAATATATTTTTCATCACTTCCTTTCACAATGCCGGTACCCAAACTCACGAACACACCCTCTATCGAGACGCGACCTTTCCTTTTGATGATCAAATGACAACTGCCACTTTCTCTCATACATCGACTATCAGTTCTCCCATTAAAAAAAACTGTCCAATCAAAAAGCTTTATTTTGTTTACAATCATTAAGACAAAACCCCATTACTGTTTCCAGAGAAACTAAAATTTTTACTTTAAAACTGGCTTTAACTTTGGTTACAAATACATAATTCATTCCTATAACAAAAGGTTAATTACAATATCTTAATCCTAGGTCATATACAAACAATGAAAAGATTATAATGAGTATGGGCTTTCTAATTCTATATAAAAAGATTTTACCTGCGAGTATTTAAATATCAGTTGTTGACAGGCAAAACTTTCTGTTAATCTAATCTTATCTTAATCTAATACATAAATTTTGTTTACCAGGATGTCTTGAAAATTTATTTAAATGGTCTATTTATTAATTCTTATTTTTCTCTTTGGCTGAGAAAAAGAAGTATGGCAATATATATATATATATATATATATATATATATATATATATATATATATATATATATATATTATGCATTCTTAACAGATTTTTTAATATGTACTTTCCTGAAACATGTCTGTATTTTGGTTTACCTCAGTCTGGCTAATTGGTTCTGCAGTTAATTGTATTTTGCCTTTTATTCTTATAACTCTGCTTTTGATACCTTTGTTCGAGATTAGGATAGATTTCTGATAAAATTTTTAATTCGGGTATATGTGTAATATATTTTCGATCGATTTCCATAGGATTGCCTAAATAATACTTTTAGTTTTTAAGTTTCTTAAAAAAATATTTAATATTGTCCTAAACAGTTTATATGGTTGTTTAAGCTATGTACTTAAATTTTCAGAAATGTTTTATTTTATTTCGGTAGATTTACTGTTTTTTAATTAAGAATAACCTAAAAATATATGTCTAAAAAGGTGGCCAACATTGAAATTGAAACGGTAGTACGTCCGCCTATAGAGGACATAATTGAGTAAATGTACTTAAAATGACTAAGAGACAGTTAGTTGAGTGTAACTTTATTTAAGAATATAATTTTCTCAATAAATGACGGAGGAAAGATAAAGATGGGAGAGTTTTTTGTCCTTCCCAAAAACTTTGATAGTTTTCACTCCGATGTACTTTATTTTAGTTACCACAACGACTTTATGTTCATACACTGAACACAGTAAATAATAAAATTAGTAGGATCGGCTGACAGGTGTTTTTCTTCCATTTGTGCATATAGAATATACACAAATAGAAGAACAAATTTAAACCGCCGAAAAGAGAAAATTCTCTATTGGATTGTGAAGAGACTGTTGTTTTATAACAATACAGTGTTTTTGAACTATTGAAAATTTTTCAATATGTTGCTACAACAGACTCCTTTTTCATGCCCTAAACTATTGTTCTTGAATTGTTAAAGTTCATAGTAGTGTATTTCTTGTAGATTTTTGCGGCCTGAAACAGCTCAGGGCATCTTTGTCAATTTTAAACGTCTTCTAGAGTTCAACCAAGGAAAACTACCATTTGCTGCAGCTCAAATAGGTGAGTAACTGAATACATAAAATGATTGTGTAACATTAAATAAAGGCTTATACAGCTACCTTTTCCTACTCACGTGAAATAGTCTTAATTTAAGTAATTTTTAGGTAATGCATTTAGAAATGAAATATCTCCACGATCTGGCCTCATAAGAGTTAGGGAATTTACAATGGCTGAAATTGAACATTTTTGCGACCCTAATGATAAAGCTCATCCCAAGTTCGATAATGTTCGAGACACACAACTGTTACTGTACTCAGCTTGTAATCAGATGGATGGAAAACCAGCCGAAAGAATAACTATTGGTGTGGCTGTTGATTCGGTAAGATTTTGTCTAATATAAACCCTTTAAAATATTATAAGTTAAGTGACGACGATATTAATGTTTACATAACTAGGGATTAAAATCAAAATATTCACGTAGATTATGAATCCGAATCAAAACTGCTCTATTATATCTACTGAATTTCATAATTGTTTACTAGCTCCAAAACTCGATTATTTTACTTTTTCATGATGGTTTTGCAGGGCCTGGTGGCAAATCAAACTTTGGGATACTTTATGGCTCGAATTCAACAGTTTTTAGTAAAATCTGGAGTTGATCCAGCAAGATTAAGATTCAGACAACATATGGCAAATGAAATGGCGCACTACGCATGCGATTGTTGGGATGCTGAATGTTTAACCAGTTATGTAAGTATTTAATGTATATATTTTTCCTTCCAAGTCCGTCGCACGTCATTAATGAGATTTCTACATTTTCACAATACAACAAACTTGCTTACACAAACATTTACGAGCACAGCACCCTTGTACTTAAACATATCACGTAACGAAAAATGCAGTGAATTTTGATCGGTGTAGAATTATTATTTTAATTATTTTTACTTATGCACTTCAAATTCTCAGTAGAATAAAATTTATAGACGGATTTTGAGTTTAGTACTAAGAAAAAATGTACATTAGATAACATTGATTACTAGCCAGTAGGCCTTTAATTGGATCTTTAGTTTATGGAGCTCAAATCACAGTTAGGGCATGTTACTACTGTTTATTGAGTTGCAGTGTGTATTTTTATTAATATCACAAAGCTTAGTGTAATTTAAACAAACCTAAAATACAGGAATAACAAATCATATCAATTACTTTCTGTATTTGTACCTGCAAAATCACTACTTAAATTCCAATTTAATTCCTAATCTACTAAATTTTCTAAATCCTAATTCATCATGGAAAGACCTCTGTGAATGCTCAGTTGTTGAATTCGAATTTCGGAAAATAGCAAGTACACGTTGGTTTAACGGGCTAAGTTAATTAAATTAGAAAGAGATATAGTCTAAATGAAATACTAAAAAGTGTAGTTTCAGAAATAACTATGGTAGGGGGTCATATCTCTGAAGCGTTGAGTTGGATCTGGGCTCTGGCATCATTGGTTGGAGATCTTCTCATATCGACTGAAAGGAATAAAAATTCATAAATTAGATAATTGTTTAAAATATTGATCTAATTATTAATCGAAAAAAAATTGCATAATAAAAACAGGTCAAACTACCAAAAGCCAATATTGTATTGTGAATAGAAGTTGAAACAAACAGCGTCCGAGCGAGTAATAATTTGGGTGACAAAAAATATTCAATTCAAGAAATAAGTTTCAACAAAAATGGATAGTGAATCAACAGATGGGGGAGGCGGTAAAAGAATCGAGGAAAATGAAGTGTCCACAAGAAGCAAGAAATTGAACACCAGCAAAAGAAAATAAATGTAAAAATATCGACCCAATATTGGAATTAATAAAAGTAATGAGATAACGTTAGAAATGAAACAGATGCAAGAAGAACCAAAAGAATTACGAGAAGAAATCAAACAAATAAGAAGAAAATGAAATTATACGAATAAAAAAGATATAAGCATAAAATAATTTTTGTGAAAGATTGGAAAAAGAAAAAAAGAGAACAATGTGATTTTAATTGGACTTGCAATAAATACAACAGATACTAATAAAGTGAAAAGGACCATGACAAATTTTATGGCAGAGTATTTAGATATACATGTTCAGATAAAAACGATAAAAAATGAGAAGTTATACAGGATGTTCAGTTAAGTCGGTACCATAAGGGAAACTTTTTTATTTTTAGTTTTATGAAAAAAAAAGTACAATCATCAAATTGTGTTAAATTTTTTCGGTTATATAAGTGGTGTGTCAAAAAATATGAATTGTGGATATTAACTCTTACATAAAATTCATAGTTTTTGACAAACTGCGTATATGACTAAAAAATTTAATATTTGATGATTGTATTTTAGAATATGCAGAACTTTTATAAAGAAATAACGTTTTTTTTATATAAAACTAAAAATAAAAAAGTTTCCCGTATGGTGCCGACTTAATTGGACAACCTGTATATGATTAAGACAGACAACGTGAAAGGAATTTAAACAATGACAGAAAAACGCGAAGTTAAAAGTAGAGGAAAAAAATCCATAATTGATTAGTACAAAAGAAAAACAAAAAAAAAGTTATAACTGACACAAAAGTATGGAGAAGTCCAGAAATAAGACTTGATTACTATTTGATAGTAACAAAAATAAAAGAAAAAACGGCAAAAAACCAGACATAAACAAAACATCTGAAGTCCAATAGACTAACAAATAGGACAATTGCACAGAAGTATGAACTATCATTAACGCAAAAGTTAAAAATTACAAAAAAAAACAACAGGTGAGGATAATCCAAATGTGTTGTGGACTTTTTCAAGGAAATTATCATACAGCTAAAGAAGTATGCTAGACAAGCAAGAAAAATAATACAGGTAGACTGTAACGATAAGACTACCAATGAGAATTAAAATACTTTTATAAAATAATACCTCAATCAACTATGGGAGCTTATCGTCTATGCTTCGCCTAGCTCAGTCTCTTAAGTGTGAATCCGTCTTTCTTAAACTATGAATTAAACAATGAAAATTTAGTTGGTAACAAATAAAACAATGAATTAACTAATCATATTTATTCAACATAAAAGAAAATAATGTTTATTTTACAAAAACCCTGCCTAACGCTTTACAATAAATAAATTTAGAACTGATACTTATGGCATATATTTGGTTGCTTGCTCCTGTTACGATGTGGCCTCCAGATTATGTAGGTAGGTCTTGTTGTTGCCTCCAGAGTATGTGGGTAGTCTCACAGACAGCTCCAGTTATTCAGTTCTGCATTATTCCACAAATCATTCAAACTATTCCATAGAATATTCCAGAAATTATCCAATAAACTAGAATATAACATCAGTATTGGCGTGATATCAAAGGGAGTTGACTCAATAATTGGTTTTGTTCGTTTTGATAGATCTCGAATGTGTAAAGACGCATGGGAAAATGTACATAAAAGTTCAATGGAAAGATTCAATTATGAATATTCAATAGAAATAGATGGTAAAAAGAGAAAAATCAAAGAAGCGGCTCTAATTATGTCAAATGAAAGCAATTGCGTTGTAAATTTCTCGGCAGAGTGCAGTAGGATCTGGTTACCCATATTAAAAGAGGAAATCAATAAAAAGATAATACAGTCCTAGTCCCGATGTTTATTAAAACCTTCAGATATACAAATATAAAATTACCCATCGAAGTTATGTTGTTGTAGAAGGCTTCATCAAATCTAATAAAGTAGTTTGACGACTCAAATATTTTTTTCTTCCTCAAAATTTCCTCGTAACAGGTTTCATAAATTGAGGTCTTCAGTCAAGTTTCAAACCGTCATTTGATCCTAAGTTTGAACAGTATCCAAACAATTAAGCTCTGCATTTCTTGTTCATCAATTATCAGCTCCTGATTGCGAAAATCCAACAGTTCTTGAACGTCATCACTATCCACTTCTAAATTTATTTGCATGGCGATTTTAACAACTTATTTCATCAGGCTCTGGCATCAATTTCGCTCTAGTGTCAGTAACGAAAAAAGGACAAAGTTTTTTCTTGGCGCTATTTAACGTTTTTTGTGAAACTTCATTCCAAGTTGTAGAAGGATGATTTGGTGCGTTGTCGATGATTTACTATCACTTTAAATAGAATTTGTATCGATTGACAAAATGTTCGACTTCAGGTATGAACTTATGACCATATCAATCCTCAAAAAGGGAATCTGTCACCGAAGCTTTACGATTAGACTTTCAAATTACAAGCGAGCCAGATTTAGCTCATCTACATTGAATATGGTTTGGTTGGTGTTGCCACACAAACCAACCGTTAATAGCTTTAAACTCTTTCTCTTTAGCAATCTCTACAGGATCCTCTTTTTATTCCTCAAAAATCAGCAAAGCTTAGAAGCACACTGTGTTCTAATAAATAGGATAAATTTTTACATTTACCTGATTATCAAACCATAATTTTAACATTGTTTCCAACTCGGCAATAATAGCATTGTAATGACCGAGGAACACCGCTGTCACCACTGTAATGACCGGGGAACACCGCTGTCGCCAAATGTACAACTACTGGGGCGCTCCGCTGTCACCACTGTAACATCCTCGCTATGAACCTTAAGGATGCTTATCCCTGCGAGCGGCTGCAAGGAATACTGGTCCCACTAGTCTGAAGGGCTGGCTCGCCTTCGTGTATTTACGAGAAGGTAGGGAAGTTCGGGATAGGGATTTAAGGACTTCTAGGTCTCAGGTCCTGTAAAGAGTTTGAGTCTATGGGCTTACTTTAGAAGCCGGATAAATGTATAAGCAGAAATTTGGTACTCTCCTGGTCTCTGTCTGAATCGGCCGGAAGGAACATAAAAACCAAATTTAGAGTCTACAAATGTATTGAATATACTATGTGTTTTACAATTAAGTTAACAAGCTGTCAGATATAATCAATAATAACTCGTTCGGCGCGAACGGAGACGAGAAGAGATCTTAGCAAGAAAGTAAAGGGGTGACAATCTGTACTACTATAATTTACTCGGGTTAGTATATAGAATTTGTTACCTTTCGCGTATTTAGGCTCTATTCTTTGTTTCAAGTTAAGAAAATATCATTACGCTTATGGAGATCAGTGTTGCCAAAACTCTCAGGCAATCTCTTTTGCACGGATGTCCAAGATATTCCCTTTGCTTAATTTTTGAATTTTCATTTTCAATTAACATTTAACTGTAAAGTCAGAATAACTACTAAATAAAAGCCTTATTATCATTATGTAGTCAGAGAACGACATAAAATCGCTGACATACGCACATCGTATTATTTTAAGTTGCAATTAGTAATTAGATATACGCATTCCAAGCGGTCCGTTTATTTGCTTTTAAAACTTTGCTAAATAGGCGGCAAAATGCATGATTTAACTAAGCAATATTTTCTACTGATTTCTATGATTCATGGCATATGGTATTCTCACCGAAAAACAAATAAACTGTCGTTACTATAATTAAAATAAGATAAAATAAAATTATCTTTTGTAAATACTATTTATCTAATTAAAATCATTTTCCCTACTTTTCATCTCTTGTTTCGAATGGGCACTTTTGTTCAATTACGTTAAAAAACATTAATTTAATTCATGTCTGTGGAAACGAAAATACAAATTATACAACCCTAAATAAGTGTGCTTGTGTGTGTCGTGGCAACGCCGCGTTTGTATCGTCCATAAGAAATACATGGCCCTATCTCCGCAATGTTATTTTCTTAACGTGGAACGTAGTATAGCTAATGATACGCCTTCAGTTCCTCTGGAAATCGGATTTCTTTCTGTACCCGACACTTATACGGAACTATATCCCGTCGAAATATAACAATCGCGCGTAATCCGCACCTGGTGTCGCCTCTCGCCTTGACAGCCCGCCCGAAGATACTGACTGACCGGACGCTACCGCCTCCGACCCGGAGCCGGCAATCACTGCCTGAGCGGGCAGTCACGGTGCCCAGCTATTACTGATCGCGTACTGAACGCTATGGCGTCCGAGCGCTCACGGAGCTGGCAATTACTGCCTTGAGCGCTCCCTCGATACTACTTTGGTTGACCAATTTTTTAGTTTTTATGTCCCGCGAACATTCCTAGTTTATTTTGCTGAGTCCTCATGATTTAAACCAGGTCGGCGCTGGTGATATTTTCCAGCGTAGGTCTGTGTTTATTAAAACGTGACTATTTTCTTTTTTTGAACAATTGTTGCAACTGATACTGGCTCGTGTCATGCAACTAACTGGGTCAAATTGTTTTTCTTTGTATAGATTAACATGTATACGTTACTGTATCGAATTTATTCTTTATTTAATTTGGAATATATAATAATTATTGTGAATAATTATTATCTTCTCTATGCTACTTAGCCCTTATTTTTTCTATTCTTTATTTTCTTGCTATGTTTACATTACAGCATGACCTTTAGCAACGATGGTTGAATTTCAAGATTGTGCACTTTTCACAGCTTTGAGATTTTTTTCTTTGCCCTTTATGTCCTTTGGTCGTCGATTCAATAAATCAAACTTCTTTGCTAATTCACAAAATTTCTTTTTTGTATCAAAATCTTTAATTATATTAAGTTTAAATTAACGAGATTTGAAAATCGCGTAACTTCGGATTCGCATAAGTCGAGCTGTTACTGTACCACTATTAGTAAGTCAATAACATATCGAGGATAAATTATTCGTTTTAAAATAACATACATAAACCAAAGTTTGGTGTTGATATTGAGAGCAAACTAAATGTTAAGACACCATGTCGGGATAGTATCGTCAGGTTTTTTTTTCTGGTTTTTCCTCATGATGTGTTATGGGATCACTAACAAAAGAATTTTACTGTCAATATGGCATGTGGCTGTCTTTTTAAAGACAAATCACATTCTATGATTTTTCTGACGGGTATTTCAAGTTAAAGTTGATTTCATGTAATCGAATGAACTATCTTCCAATAAATATATGTCTGATTTGTCAATATGAATAAGTCAGATAAAATTAAATCATTTAGAATCATTAGAAGAATTTTTGTTACCCACTAACCAAAACAAAATTTGTTTAATTTATTAATGTTTTGTATTTTGAGAATGATTTTGAATCTAAACGTCAAATAAACATATTTTAAAGTAAAATTGTCGCTTATTCCCAATAAAAATAGTAATTCTCATTTTTATTCTGTTTCTGTTTACTGTTAAATCTGTTTAGAACTATTTTCGTTAAGTATTACTGTGTTGAATACCGATTTTATTAAATTTTCTCAAAAACTCATTAAAATATTGGCTCAACCTAACTTATATAGATAATGTCAACCCATAAATGTCACATCCTTTACCGTGGTGACTACACTACCAACAAGCCGTATAGATAAAAGAATTCATAGCCTACCCTAATTAAGATTTTTTCGACGGGTCTATATTATTCACAATGAAATTAAAAAGAAAACAACTTTTCATTCAGGGATGGATAGAATGTGTCGGATGTGCGGACCGATCTGCCTATGATCTTACACAGCACACAAACGCCACTGGGGTCCGATTAGCGGCAGAGAAAAAGTTACCAGAACCAAAAATAGTCGATGTAGTCGAAGCACAATCAAATAAGGGATTATTAGGAAAAACCTTTAAGAAGGATGCCAAGACAATCACGGATGCTTTGGCAGCTTTAAAAATCGGTGATGTTGAAGAACTAGAGAGCAAATTGGAAAGTACTGGGTATGTATATTCAATTAATCTTATAGATAATACACTACTGCCCAAAATGTACCACTGTAAATGTACCATAAGTTTGAAGCTATATTTTCTGACTGATTATGAATTAGTATAGTAATCAGTAAACGTTTCTAAAAATATCCGTATACGAGGGTGTAAAAATATAGTTGTGTTTTTGTATCGTAATTTGCAATACCCTGTGGAATTTATTAGAAAGAAAGGCTACATCTTATTAATATTTTAAGACAGATTCATCCTTTCTTAATATTTTTGCAAAGAAACTATCTTGATATCTCTATTATTAAAGATTGTACGGAATTTTAAATATAATAAGTTTTTATTAACATTTAAAGCAAAGAAAACATTACTTACATAAACTTCATTGATATTTAATACAAATAAAGCCTAAGAAAACATAACCTAAATAATCTTTAACAAGTCCCTTTCCCAAAAACACTTAATAACGAGTATTTCCACCTCTACATCTAATTACATCTTCACAGCGACGAGGCATACTTAAAACCAAGCACCGTATTTGGTCTTGATCCCACAAATTTTTTATGGGATTGAGATCAGGGCTGCAGGGTGGCCAGTTCATGGTTTGGGATTCCAACCTCGTCCAAATATTCACGACCCACACGTACAACATGTGGTCAAGCGTTATCATACATTAAAAGAAGATTATTTCCTATATAAGGAGCAAATGGAACTACATGGTTAGACAAAATGTCTGTAATATACCTTTCACTTGTTAAGGAACCTCTTCGTAAAGCAACAAGTTCGTTCGCGCTGTAAGAGATATTCCTCCCCAAACCATTACAGATCCTCCATTGAATAAAGTAATAGGTCGTATATTGCACTGTGCGTAGCGTTCTCTTGGCTGTCGAATAACTTTCACACGTCTATCTGTGCTATATAAGCAATACCTTGATTCATCAGTGAACAACACGTGCTCACAGCTATTAACATTCCAGCCAAGGTGCTCTCTGGCAAATTGCAATGTACTTCTACGATGATTTCAGTTTAAAGCTGGTGCTCTGGCTGGTATCCTTATATGCAGATCTTGTTCAGCGAGACGCCTTTCTATAGTGTTTTTACTAATTTGGATATTATGAACATTTGCCACTATAAGATAAACTGATCTTGTCGTGGTGTTGTGAGTCTTCCTCTTCCTTGTCCACGCCGCCGTCTCGTATGGTCGTTTGTTTCTCGAAAACGTTGAATATTTCGTGACATACGGTCCATGTCAACTATATATAACATACGCAAAGTAGCAAAACACTTTAATGAAATGTAAACAATATTAACAGATTAAACTGTACTGTCAAATTGTTTGATTTTTCATAATCAACTAACTGCTTCCATTAATAAGTATTACAATTTGATAAAATCACGTTATGCTTTGAAAGTACTTTTTTGTTGATAATAAAGAAATCGATGATTTTTTTACGAAAATGTAAAAAAAAGAAGCTTTTTTGAAAGATTAATAAGACGTTTGCTTTTAATAAATTCCGCAGGGTATTCCAAAATAAGATGAAAAATCAAATTTATTTTTACACACGTATATGGGTGAAACGTTGGCATTTCCCATAAAACATTAATATAGTAATTACTTAGAAATAGGTCTGCAGTGCGACAAAAAATCATCGAAATCCAATTAAGGATTCAAAAGAAAAATAGCTTGAAAATTATGCTAAAGTGAAGTCGTTTTACCCTGTCGTATTTCGGATTACCGCCCGAAAAATAATTTATGATTCTAGTTACAGCCACTCTGTTATGCTTTCCCTTTTCTACCTGCTTTGTGGTACCGAACCTCCTACTGGTCGGCTGTAGTACTTGAGGATAAATCAGCGCTACCAAAACAATTTTTTTATAAATCGTGAAAAAACGCAAATTGAATGCTTTGTGATGATAATTATGAAAAACTTTTATAATTTTATTTCAAATAAAATTGTCTCGAGGAGTGCATCCATTCCTTGCGGTCGCATAACTGGATAATTTTAGTTGTTATATTTGCAAAAATAGTAAACAGTCTGCGGAGTCGAGGCTCTCCATTGACCGGACTCATCGGCCAATGACCGACGCGCCCTGCCACCGAGGCCCCGCCCCCTCGTGTATATATTCAGAGAGCTCCGAAAAATCTCGCTAGTATTCAACGATCGCCGGTTTTCAATAGTGACAATGGATAACGTACAAGAAAACGATAGAACATCTAAATATAAGTTTTTATCTCCGAGTGAGCGTCGAATTGTGTTGAAAGTGGAAAATTATTTTACTTTAGAAAAAATCAACATAGGACCAATTATCTATCAGTACTGGCAGTTCAAAAAAGGACAAGTGCAGCTTGTGGAATTTCAGAACGGACCTTGCAAAGAGTTCGCAAAATGAGTGAGGAGGAATTAAGTAAGGAAAATAAAAGGATTCGTTTGCATCCGAAAACCCTCGACTTGCCACAAGGTATTAAAATCTCAATATGAAATATCATTTATGACATGTGCAAAGCGAAAGAACATGTTACAAGAAAGACACTTATTCAAAAAATAAAGGACAGAGAACTTTGTGATATGGGTTTGATGACCAGTTTATCAAAAGTATTAAAAGCTATGGGTTTTAGATACAAAAAAAACAATAATCGTAAAGTGTTGTGCGAGCTGTCCAATGTTGTTGGAAAAAGGTGGAAATTTATAAGAAACTATTTAAAAAACAAGAATTCCGAATTTGCCAGACAATTTGTGTTTCTTGACGAAACATGGATATTTTGCGAAAGGAAATAATACCAAATCATCCTGGCAAGATGATTCTACCAAATGCTATTCGAGTACTAGTGCGAGTAATGGCAAAAGATATATTATATTGCATGCAGGAAATACGGAAGGTTTTATACCTAATGCTAATCTTTTATTTAGAGCTGCTGTCAATAAAGTCACGATAGCGAATATGGTAGCCAACATGATATCCAACGATCGATAACGGTCATGGAACTAGAAGAAGAAGAAGCTAATCTTCTATTTTCTTCGACAAAAAAAAAACTGATGATTACCAAGGAAATATGGACGCCGATATTTTTGAACATTGGTTTGAGGAAAAATTATTAAAAAATCTAGAAAATCCGTCATTAATAGTCTAGACAATGCCTCGTATCACACCAGAGAGGAGGTAAAGTTTCCCACAAGCAGCTGGAAAAAAGAAGACTTAAGAAAGAGGCTGTCGGAGAAAAATATAGAACACGAACATCTAGTTTTAAAAGCTGAATTATTAAATAAGTGCAAAGAACACATTACTGAGAAAAAATTTGTCGTTGACCAAATGGCACTAAAATATGGTCATGAGGTCCTAAGACTACCACCATATCACTGCCAGTACAATCCAATTGAAATGGTATGGGGCATCACTAAAAACTACTAGGATAAACATGCATGTAAGACCACCGACGAAGCCAGCGTTTTACAACTCTGGCAAGATGCACTAAACCAAGTCAATGAGGAACAATGGGGGAAATGTATTGAGCATACTGAAAAAAAAAATTAGAGTCATATGACATAGAACAAGTTATTGATGAAGTAAGACCTTTAATTATTCGTACAGATGATTATTTGTACATAATAAAACAAAAATCGCACGCAGGAGAGAGCCAGAGGCACGCCGCACGACGCTCTTGAATGCAAGCACCAAAAAAATTAGATTAGCAAGTAAGGTAGATTAAGGACATGACTGGACGAATGACTGGGTATTAGACGACGGATGAAAGGATTTGATGCTTGCTCGCTCTCGACTGCACTTGGTGCAGAAAAGGGAAAGCAAGTATCGGCACACACAACCATCATTAGATCGCCGAACAATTGCTTTGACCGGTAGTGATAAAGCCAAATGGGCTAACCTATCACAATGTAAATACACGGAAATCTCCCATTGCCTGACGGGGGATACCGCGAAATAGTCGAGACCTGGCTCCAAAGACCAGGGGGCGGAGGAAAGCCGGGGCTAGTTGTACCGTAGGAGGACAACCTACCTCGGTGGGTTTGGGAAGGTGTGTGTGGGAAGTAGGAATAAGTCTTTGTTTTATATAGATATATTTATAAAATATATAAAAATAAAAATATAATACAAAATTTTGAACACCCAGTATTAACATTGGCAAATTTTTTTATGCTTAAATAAAAAAAGAGTTTAGTACACGCTGAAAAAGAATTTTTGTTTTTTCAGCATAAATATTAACCACAATATTAATTTTTGAAGTTGCATGTGTAATATGAGAAATTTTAAAAAACTTTAAATATCTCAAAAACGGCTATTTTTGTATCCCAATAAAAATCGATCCATAATTTTACGTAGATTCTAAAAAAATAACAAAAAGCACAGTTTCTATTTAAAATAAGAAACTTAATGGCGATTTCCGATACAACCGGAAGTGCTAGAAGAATGCAAATATTTAAAAAATGAAGAATGCTTTGCATAACCCATTATTCCAAGTTTGCAGAAACCGGTGACGACCAGAACTTTGAAAACTTTTAACCAACATGTTGCGTGAATGACCCTGTATATTTCATACTCAATGTTTATCAATTTACATTATGATATTCAATTATTATAAAACATAATACAAAGTTATTTTATTAAAAAAATCCCTAATGTGGTATTATCAAATTATGAAAACCGTACATTTTTAATTTGAGAACCGCTGACCACCTGAGGCAAATCTGAACAGACACTTTTATTACTTATCCGACAGGCTAAAACGATCCTACTATAGAGTTGAGGTAGTGTATTTAGCTTTAGTAGCGTTCATCATGGTCCATTCTAGGTGGTGCATTAATTTTGGAGAGTAGTATATTGTTATGTTTTTATTAATCTAATTTATTGTTTTTATTTATTTTCAAAAGTTCTACATTTATAACACTTACAAGTTATTTTAAAGTCTTTATTTGTACTAATTCATCTCACACTAATAATTACATAATTTATTTATAATACGAGCGTTACATTTAAAAAAAACCGACGCGCTATTATCTTCTGACTAACTAACTGTTTTCAACTAAAAGGTTCCTTTATATAAAGTGCCGTTAGCATGGAATTTCTCTCGAAGCCCACGGATGTTCACCTGAATTGTCTCGAATGAAGGGGAGCTCAAACTGGTTTTTATAGCGGCTTGCTTCTGGAACCTTCGAATCGTAGTGGACCGACCGATCGTTTCAGGTAGGTATTACCTGGAATTTCGGCCAGCTGGTAAAATCTAGAACATATCAGAATTAAAAAGAATATTTATGAGACATGTTTATCGTAACAATATGTTATTTATCTGAATAGTTAGCGATAAGTAGTAAGTACCATTTCTGAAGATAAGTCATTTCTTGCTTCAATTCCTTTTTTTCATTAGCAATTTTGTTCATCTTTGTGCAGCATGTTGCTTTAGATTATCTGATCATTTAACTTATCTTCCTCTGTTTAGTTAATGGTTTTACCGATCCCAGTGGGTAAAATAGTTTGTGTTTGCTGTCATGATTTTTCTCTATGTATTAACATAATTTTAATTTTAATTCTTGCCTTGGATCTAATTAGTAAAGTATTCAATGTGTTATACATGCGTATCCAGACGCGATAAAAAAATGACTAAATTTGATGTGGAGTGGTATTCGATTTTGCAGAAAAAGTTGTGTGAGAACTTCAATAATAATAATTGACATCGTCCCTCCAAAGAGGTCGGAACATAATAAAAAATTTAAATATTTAAAAAATTACTAAAAACACGATTTTTTTTTACTTTCCTTGCTTATAACTTTAAAACCATTCATTTTGGAGCAAAGTCGTAATGAAAAAACAGCGACAATTAAATGTTATAAAGATACGGCTCGATAAAAATGTTTTAAATTATTACCACTTTTGAAAAATAGCAATAAATACAAAAAAAAGGGGAAACAAGCTTTTTTTTCAATGTTTTTCAACCACTTAGATTGCACTTCGGACATTCGTATTTCGCCTAGTAAATCTTTATAATATACTAAAACAGCCCACAAAATTTCATTAAAATCGATTTAATAGATTTCGCATAATAATTTTGCAATATAATTTGTCTTTTTAAATTTAAATTTAAAAGACCTTTTTCTATAATGAAATGTTTCAATTCCCATGTAAGTTGCCGTCTGTTAGGGTCGTAAAATGAATAGAACACCTAGCAGTGTTTATTTTTCTTATAGACAAATAATTAAGTTTTTTTTTATAGATCTTATGAGTTGGCAGTGAAAGACAAAAACTACACTCTTTCGAAAGATATGGTATCCGTGAAAAGATATCAAAATACAATACATGTTGAAGAAATTATTCCCAGTGTTATTGAACCATCCTTTGGTAAGTTTGAGATGCTTTTGGTTAGACAATTGTTGTAGTTTTTATTTACGCTGTGCAATAAGACCATCATTTTTTGCTTTTAATACCTAATTAATTAAATTTTTATTTAAGGTGTTGGTAGAGTAATGTACGCCATCTTCGAGCATAATTTCAAACAACGCGAGAACGATGAACAGAGAACATATCTGTCATTACCAGCGATTGTGGCACCGTTAAAATGTAGCGTCCTGCCGCTAAGTTCCAACCAAGAGTTTATTCTCTTCATTAAGAGAATATGTAAGTAGTTATAATATAAAAACAGAGATTAGCCTTGTATATAAATAGTGATACTAAGAGGAAAACTTTTTTAGCTACAGAACTTACAAAAGTAGATGTATCTCACAAAGTAGACGATAGTTCTGGATCGATAGGGCGCAGGTATGCCAGAACTGATGAAATCGCCATACCCTATGGGATTACCATTGATTTCGATACCCTAAAGGAACCGCATACTGTTACTTTACGAGAAAGGGATTCAATGGGACAAGTTAGGATACCGGTAAGTCACAAAATTTTGTCTAAAGCACTAATTCAACACCAGAAGAGACAGTTCTCGACCAAATACGTAAATAAATTAGTAACTAACAAAATTTACACAAAGAATTTATCTTATATAACAAAAATTTACTATTAGTTGTCTTAATGACGAAATTATATATTTAAACAGTACATTATGCTAAAATTGTCAAAAAATGTTTATATTCTTTCGTTTGTATATATTAATGTTTTTTACATTATTTTATGAAAAAAAATCTTTTTATTTTTAGCTCGATGACATCGCACAAGTTGTTCACAATTTGTCATACAGCAAGCAGAGTTGGGAAGATATCGAAAACAAGTATCCCAAATTCGAACAACAGGAGAGTAAAGCGGTATAAATAAATATTTATTGGAAATTTGATAAAAAGTCGCATTTTGTAAATTTAAAATACCTTTATCTTAAGCTTAAAAACGTCAAGCTTGCAGCAAGTTATTTATTACTTTTTTTTAATAAATTTGAAATATAAGTCATTAGGTATTGTTTTTATGCTTTTATATCGAATATCCAAAAAGCGTTTTATAGTGATTATTTTCGAGGTTTATAAGCTGTGTTCCAGAATTTTTTTTTTGTGACCTTTCGATTGCAATTGCGGCAGATTTTATCAAAGTCAATTCGGCAATAGTCATAACTTGTCGCTCACTGACGAGAAAGTTACAGCTCAAAAAAAAATTACCATTACAATTACAGAACATCGACCGGGAAGGAACTCTTAGATATGGCTAAAAACAAACCTATTTCAGTAATACGATTGGAACTTTTTTGTATATTTACTGATAATAAATTTTGTATCTTATACAGAGATATTTAGTTCTCAGTTTAGAGTTTCTAATTAGTTATTTCCACTGAAAATTTCTGTTCTTGAAGTAACACGTGTAAATGCGTAAAACATGCGCATTCTTATTATAAAAACATTTTTGAATCATAAAATTTCTTTAGATTCAAAATGGAAACTTATTAAAAATCAGAGGGATAAATATCTAACGAATAGTAGATTTTCATACTTTAAATCGCTACTTTTTATTTATTTTTTTACTGAGGGCGCTAGTGAAGGGATGCTCTATTTTACTGAAAGAGTAAAAGTATTTTGTTTACAATAAAACCTTATACCTCATCCATCGGCCGAGTCAATTCAAAGCTCAAGAAACACTTTTATATTTTATACTGTTATTTCATCAAGCTCAATGTAAGAAGAGAACAGGACATGGAGAATAGAGAAAGAAGAAGTCATCGAAGTAACAAAAAGAGTTAAAAACGGAAAAGCTGGAGAAGAGGATGGGATAGAACCAGAAGTGATAAAATGAATAGGTTAGGAAGTCATAAACTGGTTCTGGATCATATGTAATGAAGCATTGAAGCAAAATAAAATACCAAAAGATTGGGAAAATAATCTTCATCATCCAGATTTCTGCGTCCAAAGGTAAACACAGGCCTCCCCTAATTTCTTCCAGTTCTGTCGAGAACTGATAGATCTAGATATGATCTAGAAGTGGGGTTAAACACTCTAAAGGCGCCTGGAGGATCGCAGCTAAAAAGAGACTTCCTACCCAAAAAATCATAGTTCCTCTTGTTGACACTAACATATATCAGTTATAGCTAACATTTAAGGTGGTCACAATCTTAAAATATACTTTTTAGGTACAGTTATCGTCACTATTTCAAAACAAATCTTTAACTTATCATTATGGTAATTTTTGTCAGTATATTTAAATATTTCCGTAAATGAAAAAAATTATTGAAATTTACTTGAGTAAGTGTATAGTATTTATAAAGTCAGTTGAAACATTTCTCTCCGACTCGATTTATAAGGGCAATTCAATATTACATCTACCGGTAATCAAGTTAAAGTATAAATAACACGCGTCAATGTTTCAAACGCATTTGAACAATCCCCGTAGTTCGTAGGAAATAGATCGAAGAAAGAGGGAATGAAAGATACATCCTATCAAATAAATATTGCACATTGATATGTTATTCAAAATCACCAATATTTAACACGCAACTTGGAGGTCCCCTTCTAGCCGGTGGCGAAGGGTACAGATAAGAAACTCTGTTGAATCATACCAGAGCTGTACACCTAAAATGTTTATTATTTTACGAAGTATAATTAAATCATGATACTGTCAATATGGCCTATTGCCCTTTAATTATAAATTATTTTTGTTGCTTAATATGACATATTAAAAACTTTTGTATACACTTATGTACTTTACGACAGCTTTAAGTAAATTAAAATCGTTCTTTTTCTGTTCATTAGTCTATATTTGATTATAGAAATAAATGATGCGCCCATGTCTGGTAATATGATATTATTCTTTTAAGGTTTGTCGGCAACTAGTTTTTTGGGTGTTTCAACTGACTTTATAAATACTATAAATACTATAAATACTATAAATACTATAAATTTATACACCTACATTGGATCCGTATTTCTCCCGATCCGATATCGGGCGACGTCGGATTGAAAACAAACTCAAGGTACTAATGCATGGTGCCTGTACTGCAGTGGGAACCCCGATCAGATAACGACCGATATCGGCCGACGTCGGACTGAGTAGCTTCTCTTATCAAACTTGTTTGGTTTCATTTTTTTTGTACAATATAACATAAAAGTAGTAATTATTATAATTCTTTCTTTACGTAATACCTAATATTTTAGCAGTAACTGTCAATATTTGTTCTAAATGCGTTTATTTTGCCATGGAACAGCGCCTATTCCATTGAAATATGATTTGAAATTGCCTCTCATAACTTTTGCCTCATTTGACGGCCTGTTGAACGTTCTTGATGAACTTACTTCTTGGAATGGAGATTCATTCGGTAATTTCACCGAACTGAAATGGTCATCGCCCTCACGGTCAATAATAAGGTTGTGTAGCAACCAAATACTTTTCACAATCCGTTCAGCTTTGTCAACTTCGGTTTCTATAAACTTTCCCAGTAAACGTCATTTAGCTCTCATAATACCAAAAATACATTCTCCGCATCTTCTAGCCCTCAATAGTCTGTAGTTGAAAACCCCCTTTTCGTGTGAAAGATTTCGTTTTGAGTAAGATATTATGGATTTAGAGGATAAACATCGTCTCCAAGCATAACAAATGGCATATTTGTGGCTATTCCTTTGATCGGTAAAGGTTGTGGTAAAGTATTATGGCAGTTTTCTAAAAATGAAGACAAATTAGAAGCAGTAAAAGCTTGTCCGTCATGTTGCTTTCCATATCCACCGACATCCACAAAAAGAAATCGATAGCGGTAGCCCGCTCCATCTTGTAGCACAACCGAAAAATACTTTTTATAGTTAAAATAAGTAGTTCCACTTTTTTTGGATATTTAATACGGATGTGCTTGCCATTAATACATCCAATGGCATGAATGAAATTCCACCGTTTGTTAAATCCGACAGCTATTTGTTCAAATTCTTTTTAATCAACAACAGACAGATGTCGCTCGTAAGAATTGTTCCATATTGCATCCACAACTGATCATACACATGGTGATACACTAAGTTTTTCTTCGGGATTGATGCATGCTCTGAAGTTTGGCCGGATATGTTGTCTTCTATTCCTTCAAGAATATAATAAAACGTTTCTATACTCACGTGGTGTTACACTTTAAATTTAACAGGATATTTACGTAAAGTTTGGAAAGTTTTATTAAATTCTCCTGAAGATATGTCTTCGTTAAATTTATGTATCCATGTACGTTTTCTCCTATATCTTTTAAGAACGTTGTTTTCTAGCATCAGCCAACACATTAAATCTTCATCGGAACTCATTGTCAGTGGTCGGACGTTAACTGAACGAGTATAGGCACTCACGTCGGATCGAAAATCTGCCTACATCGGATCGGGAGAAATACGGTTCCAATATTACGGTACTCTAAAAATTAGAAATAAGATGAAAATATGAAATTTTCTGAGGAAAAAACTTCCTCCTGTTAACATTCGATATGAAAAAAATTGTTATTGTATTGACGCTGTTTTTCAACTGAATTACATATTTTAAATTTCTTAGAAATACTGTTCTTATAAATAAATAGTAACTTAATTATCATTCACTTCAGAATTAGCTTAATCCCTTTTTTGATTATTATTTACTTGTATTTTAAACAATTGCAAATTTCTTTTTCAGTTTGAAATAAATATTTTTGAGCAGGTAAAGAATTAAGAATTGTCGTCTGAATGCTCTTTAAATACAATAAGTAATAAAATATCTCCAAATGAATGAACGTTTTGTATTTACTAGTGAGAATTTACCCTAGGTAAACCTTTTTGATGTCGCTATAATCCACATTTAGTCTATACTCTGCAATTAAGGTTTGAAACCAAACTAAAAATTATAATTGTCAGTCGCTAACTGTAAGAATCAGTAATAATAATTGAGTAGCGTCTATATAATCAGATTTCGGATGGTTATTATTCGTCTAAATTGTTTTATTTGATGGTTATTATTGCACAGAAATCAAACTAAACTTGGTTTAATATCTCTGGGTTATTGTTAACATTAACCTGTGGCTTAGTGTTATAAAAAACCCTAATTTAGATATGATGAATTCCACTACAGTTTTTAAAACAAAACGGATATAAATTACTATTAAACTGGGAATAAGCCACAATTAAAGATAAAAATACGTTTATTGACGTTTCAATTTCCACTTCGGAAAAATTTTTTTTTTTTTTTTAAGTGGAAATTGAAACGTCAATAAACGTATTTTTATCTTTAATTGTGGCTTATTCCCAGTTTAATAGTAATTAATTTACAATGCCACAAGAAAATAGCTTCAGAACAATATTAAGAAAACGGATATAAAGATAAGTTTGATTCTACATGGAGTCATAGCTTGTACCAAAATGGAATTTGTGAGAGCAAATAGCTGATTGATTTTGAATTCTTCTAATCTACATCCCAGAAGTATTTCAATGTTGTGCGCGGAAGCAAATGTAATATAAAGTAAGTAACCCTAATATGACATTACATTGTAATTAATAAAAATTATTTTACTTGAAGTGAATCATGGTATAAATTATAAAATCAACTTTTTGTTTTAGTTGAAAGTTCTTCAACAAGTAGAGATGCACAATCTACACACATGCTTCAATCATTTGAGATACCCTATTGTAGTATATAAAATTGTACAATGTAATGTCAGTGGTAATAAAGCATATTTCTATTGTATTCTAAATTAATATACAAAGGTGTTTGACATGTATTAAACAAATAAATAAATTATATTTTGTTTTATTTTGTCGTAATTGGTATTGTGTATATTTGAATTTAAAAATAATTTGTCCCTTTTAAAATTTAAAATGCAATATTTTGTTCAAATAGGTATACCAAATTATATTTAAATATTTTAAATTTAAAAATTTATTTAAATTTTCTCACCAAAATTAAATTTTTAAATTCCCGTGTAATTTTCCGCTTGAATTAGTTCCGATACAAATCTCTTGGAGCGCTGAATTTCATATCTTAAT